CCCCCTGAGCCTCGGACACCTTTGTGCAAGAGCCAGGGCACGCGTGCCACTTGTTTTTCGTGTCGTGTCGTGTTCGTTCGTCCCCCGCCTCCCCCTGCCCCCCCTCCCAGACCCAGCTCCCCCGTCCAGGCTTCCCAGGGCAGCCCCCCTGGGCCCCGGAAATCTTTATTTTCGTGTCGTGTCGTTCGTCCTCCTGCCCCTCCCCTGCCTCCCCCCCAAACCCAGCTCTTCTGGGCCACCCCCCCGTGGGAGCCCTTGGGAGCCCTCCTCCGTCCAGGCTTCCCAGGGCAGCCCCCCTGAGCCTCGGACATCTTTATTCTCTTGCACAGCTGTGCTCTAGAGCTCGGACATCTTTATTTTCGTGTCCTGGTCGTTCCCTGGCTCTGGCCCTCACCCCCCTCCCTGGGCCACGGAACACTTTCGTGTCCTGCTCGTCCCCCTGGCCCTGGCCCTCACCCCCCCCTGCCCCCCGTCCAGGCATCCCAGGGCAGCCCGTCCAGGCTTCCCAGAGCAGCCCCCCTGGGCCACGGAACCCTTTATTTTCGTGTCGTTCGTCGTTCGTGTCGTTCGTCCCCCTGGCCCTGGTCGTCCCCCTGGCCTTGGCCCTCACCCCCCCCTGCCCCCCGTCCAGGCATCCCAGGGCAGTCCGTCCAGGCTTCCCAGGGCAGCCCCCCTGGGCCACGGAACCCTTTATTTTCGTGTCGTTCGTCGTGCGTGTCGTTCGCCCCCCTGGCCCTGGTCGTCCCCTCTGGCCCTGGCCCTCACCCCCCCCTGCCTCCCATCCAGTCCAGCCTTCCCAGAGCAGCCCGTCCAGGCTTCCCAGGGCAGCGCCCCTGGGCAACGGAACCTTTTATTTTCGTGTCGTTCGTCGTTCGTGTCGTTCGTCCCCCAGGGCAGCCCGTCCAGGCTTCCCAGGGCAGCCCCCCTGGGCCACGGAACCCTTTATTTTCGTGTCGTTCGTCGTTCGTGTCGTTCGTCCCCCTGGCCCTGGTCGCCCCCTGGCCCTGGCCCTCACCCCCCCCTGCCCCGCGTCCAGGCAGGCATCCAGCCCGTCCAGGCTTCCCAGGGCAGCCCACCCTGGCCACGGACCCTTTATCTCTTGCACAGCTGTGCTCTAGCCTCGGACATCTTTATTTTCGTGTCGTGTCGTGTCGTTCGTTCCCCCCTGCCCCCCCCCCCCTGCCCCCCCCCCGTCCAGGCTCCCCAGGGCAGCCCCCCTGGGCCGCGGACACCTTTATTTTCGTGTCGTGTCGTGTTGTTCGTCCCCCTGCCCCCCCCCCTGCGGCTTCCCAGGGCGGCCCCCCCTGAGCCTCGGACACCTTTGTGCAAGAGCCAGGGCACGCGTGCCACTGTTTTCGTGTCGTGTCGTTTTCGTTCGTCCCCCTGCCTTCCCCCTGCCCCCCCCCCCAGACCCAGCTCCCCCGTCCAGGCTTCCCAGGGCAGCCCCCCTGGGCCCCGGAATCTTTATTTTCGTGTCGTGTCGTTCGTCCCCCTGCCCCCCCCTGCCTCCCCCCCAGACCCAGCTCTTCTGGGCCACCCCCCCGTGGGAGCCCTGAGACCCAGCTCCCCCGGCCCCCCCCCCCCCCCTCGGGAGCCCTTGGGAGCCCGGCTCCGTCCAGGCTTCCCAGGGCAGCCCCCCTGGGCCACGGAACCCTCCCCTCCGTGCTCCCCTGGGCCACCCCCCCGTGGGAGCCCTTGGGAGCCCTCCTCCGTCCAGGGTTCCCAGGGCAGCCCCCCTGGGCCACGGAACCCTTTATTTTCGTCGTCGTCCTTCGTTCCTGGGACACCCCCCGTGGAAACTCTTGGGAGCACCCCTCCGTCCAGGCTTCCCAGGGCAGCCCCCCTGGGCCACGGAACCCTGTATTTTCGTCGTGGTCGTTCGTGGTTCGTGGAAACCAGGCCAGGCCCAGAAATCGTCGTCGTCGTCCTCCTCCTCCTCCTCCGCTTTCTTCCTGGCTCCTCGTAAACCCCTCCTGGAAGAAGGAGGCGGGGGCCTCCTGTCCTTCGCAACTCCTTTGTGCAAGAGCCAGGGCACGCGTGCCACTTGTTCTCGTCGTGTCGTGTCGTCGTTCGTCCCCCTCGGCCCCCCCCACTCCCTGAGACCCAGCTCCCCTGGGCTCGGCCGCCCCCCCCCCCTCCCTGCGACCCAGCTCCCCTGGGCCCCCGTGGGCCCCTTGGGGGCCACGCCCCCCTGTGGGCCCCTTGGCAGCCCCTCTCCGTCCAGGCTTCCCAGGGCAGCCCCCCTGGGCCACGGAACCTTTTATTTTCGTCGTGTCTTGTCGTCGTTCGTCCCCCCCGGCCCCGCCCCCTCACTGTTCCTTCGTCTCCCTCGGCCCACCTCCCCAAAACCTTTTATTTTCGTCGTGGTCGTGGTCGCTCGTCGTCCTGGCCCCCCCCCCTCTGAGCCCTGGCTCCCCTGAGCCATCTCCCCGTGGGAGCCCCTCAAACCCCCCCCCCTCCGCCCAGGCTTCCCAGGGAAGCCCCCTTGCGCCACGGACTCCTTTATTTTCGTCGAGCTCGCCCCCGCCCCCCCCCCTCCCCCCCTGGGAGCCCATCTTGTGAGGCCCCCTCTTCGCAACCCTCATGGAGGCCTCTCTTCGGCCGTCTGGAAACCATCTCACCACATTTTGCCTCTGAGGAACCTCCTGGCGACGCTCACCGACTCCTCTTCGGCCGTCTCGGAGCCATCTTGGAGTGCTTTGGAGCGACCTCCTGGCAGCTCGGAATTCTGTTGGATCATATTACACCTCTTGGGGGTCTCGGGGCTTCTCTCGAAACTCTTGGAAATCCTCAGGGCGGGCTCCAGGAGCAAAACAATTTCCTCCGCTTTCCGACAGATCCACTCAGACAGGCCCAGTCGACACACTGGCGCGGCACAAGGCGCCTCTTTCTTCTCTCAATTGTGCAAGAGCCAGTGCACGCGTGCCACTTGTTTATAAGGAGAAGGCATGGAGGAGTGGGAGGAGGAGGAGGAGGAGGAGGGGGAGGAGGAGGAATATGAAAAGGAGGAGGAGGAGGAGGCGGAGGCGGAGGCGGAGGCGGAGGCGGAGGGGCGGAGGCGGAGGAGGAGGCGGCGGAGGAGGAGGAGGCGGAGAAGGAAAAGGAGGAGGAGGAAGAGGAGGAGGAACACATATAATAATACTAATAGGAACACTTGGAATAATAGTATGATTCGTTAGATCAGTATTATTCATACACGAAACATACTACTACTACTACCATTAATGCTACGAGTATCATAGGGCGCATGATCGGACTACGAAGGAGAATAGTAATAACCATGCTGGTATAAGTAATAGTAATAATGTTACGAATGATGTTAACACTGACAATCATGGTATTGCGTTTGACGATATTATTAGTAGTAGTACTAGCATGCAAAATACGTATAACACTAATGCGAATGTTAAGAAGCAGAGTTGGACACATCCGAAATAGTACTCAACATACGAAGCTTTATGCCAATACTACTAATCGTATGGTTAACAAGAATACGAAGGATACTACTAGTAAGTTTATTAGTCGTATTATCACTAGTAGTGATACTAATACTAAGAATGTTATGGGTACTCGAAATTTTCAGTTATAAGAAGAATACTGCTATTATTACTCGTATTATTTTTTGTCATACTCATGCCACGAAACATACTACTCCAACTAATGATACGAATAATCATACTACTACTACTACTACTACTACTACTACTACTTCTACTCGAAAGGGACATAAGGCGTATGTTATGACTACTAAGAAGAATACTACTATTCATACTCGTAAACCTAATTATAATGATTCGAATGCAGATAACGCTAGTCATCCTAGTATCGCGACTACACGTTTTCTTCCTGGTAATTATATTAGATTTTTTTTTTGAACACTAATGCGACTATTAAGAAGAAGAAGACAACGCGTCCGAAGCATATGCATCTAACATTATTAAGCCTTAAAATAGTAGTGTCAATATAACCGATCGTAGCATTCAAAGGATAGTGCCAATATAACCGATCGTAGGATAACCGATCGTAGCATAAAAAGAACAGTGTCAAACATTGCAAGAATAAGGAGAACAATCATCAGACTAAAACGACAATTATCAACCATTGCATGAATTACAAGAGTACAAATAACAATAACAAGAATAGTACTATTACTAAGCAGGAGAAGAATACTACGAACATTAAGAATACGAAGGAAACTATTAGCACTAAGAAACATGATAATGATACGAAGAACGCGATCACGAATAGCAGCAATAATAATACGTATAAAAAGATACTAATACCAATACTTGAAATACGATCAATACTAATAAGCGTCGTACGAAACATTAGAGGACACATACTACTACTACTACGAATAAGCATGCTACTAATACGAACAAGAAGAGTATTACTATTAATAGTACAAAGAAGGCAATACTAGTACGACTGATAATAATAACCAACGAAATAGAAGCAACATCATATTAATACTATGAAGAAGAATACGAATAAGAAGACGCTCGACATTATCATATGAATAATAGAAGTTATGAAGAATAACAAAACTGTGGTCATAATAATATTATAGCACTAATCATACAAACAATAATGCTAATCATAGTAAGAGAGGAGTAAACGTACTAATAATAAGAAACATTTTGCTACCAATAACATGTGTACGGCTAACACTTAGAACATGAAGATTCATTTGCATAATAATAGCAAACATGCAAGCACTAACGCTATTACTAATACTAATGATACTAGAAGAAAAATAAGGGGAGGAGACGGAGGAGGAGGAGGAGGCGGAGGAGGAGGAGGAGGAGGAGGCAAGAGGAGGGAGGAAGGAGGAGGGAAGAGGGAGGAGGGAGGAGGGAGGATGGAGGAGGGAAAACGACAGTGGAGAAGACTGAGGGTCGATGGTAGATGTGGGGGAAGCAGATGGGGAGGAGGAGGAGGAGGCTGGCACAGCATCCCATTGTTTCTCCTGCGGGGGTCCTCCTTGCCACCCGCCGCAGGCAAGGCAAGGGCGCCGAGCAGGACAATGAGGCCACGGGCGAGAGCAAGGTTCGCCAGCCAGAGGACGGAGGGCCTCGAGAGGGGCTGCCCTCCTGCGCCTTCCTCTCCCCTTCCTCGCCCACAGCCCCCCCCGTTCCGTGCCCTCCCGAGTGCAGCTTTGGATGGGAACGCTATACCCCTGCCCAGTGCAGCGCTGATCACGCGTGAGAATCCCACCAGCCCTTTGGGCTGGTCCGATGACGGTCAGGAGCCCAAGCTCGAAAACCGCCCGAGCCCGAACGCCCGCGTCTACCCGCGGTGATCTAAGTCTGGCCGACACCACAAGCCCTGGACCAGAACAGCCCTGGCCGGCTCCTCCTCGTGCTGCTGCTGCTGCTGTTCTTCCCCGCGCCGCGCCCTCGCGCCGGGGTGCGCCTCGGCTCCGAGAGGGGGCCCCGTGCTGGCCCTTCGTGCTGTGGGACGTCGCCGCTTCGGGCGGAGCCCGCCCGCTTTCCCCCCCCGCCCCTCGCCAGGACTCGCCGGATGTGGCCGTCGGCATGAGCCCTCGCGGGGGTAGGAGCCCCCGCGGGGGCCAGGGCTACGAGGACCCTGGGCCGCGGCTCCCCAGCGACGCCTCGATCCCCGCCTCCTCCTGCTCGCCGCGAAGGGCCTCGGGAGGGGAGCAGAGTGCAGTCGACCCGCAGAGTGAGGATGGGAAGCCTTCCCAAGGGTACCCTTGCATCCTTGTCTCCTCGTCCCATCCTTGGCCACCTTTGTTGGCCGCGCCCCACTCGAAAAGCTTCGGAGCGGGCGTCCGATGCCTTTGCATCCTTATCGCGCATCCTTGAGATCAGGGGCGACTGTGTCGGTGACACGCTGCTGATGGGAGCTCTTTTTCGGTAGCAAATTTTGGGACCCCCGTCTTCCGGGTCGAATAGCGCCTGGTAGTCGATGAGATAGCGCCGATTTGGCGTCGATTGGCGCCGATTTAGCATCGTCTAGCGTCGACGAACGTCGTTTCGCAAGAGCCAGCAAGATGGTATGGGATGCTTCCATGGGTTGCCACACAACCCTTCAGCGTGTTGCTCCTTCGTTGCTGTCCGAATCGCCTGGTGCGTCTCCAACAGTAGCACGCCAACGTGTTCCCTACCGCGGCGTGTCGTCGATACTGACTTGCCCCCCAGAGTCAGGAGCGAACGAAAAGACGTACTATATCTTATGGAAAGAATTGGTCTAACCAGGGTTGGCCAAAGGGGGTTGGCCTGGAGGGTTGGCCGGATCTCTGGAGGTTGGCCAGGAAGGTTGGCTGGGTCCGTCGTCGCACGAGTTGATTCGCGACGCTGGTTCTAACCAACGAGGCTTTCGCCTGAGACATCTTCAGAAAACTCAGTATCGTTTAACCGACCCCCATCCCCATCCTCATCCCCCTCGAGACCCCCACCAAATTACCACCCCAGTTGGGGATGCACCCCTCGAAACCCGAAGGGAACGGCCTAAATCCCGATTTAGGGCCGTAAATCGGCCAGTGGGGCCCAGGCCACGCCGCTGGGGATGGGGATCGGTGTAAACGATACTCAATTCTGTCTAGAAGATATAGTACGTCTACATGCATCCGCGCGGGCTTCCGAGAGTACCGCCACTGCGCGACCGCAGCTCGTGGCACGAGGCTGGGATCGCGGCATGGGGGTCGTGTCAAGTCGGGCATGTCCCTGTACAGGAGGAATGTTCAGTTTGGTGACGATGTTTTTTTTTTTTTTTTTTTTTTTTTTTTTTTTGTTTTGTTGTTGTTGTTGGTTGTTGTTGTTTTTTTTTTTTTTTTTTTTTTTTTTTTTTTTTGGGGGGGGGGGGGGTCGTGTGACTTTGTTTGACTTGTTTTGATTTTTTGTTTTTCGCCCAGAATGCGCCTGTAGGGGGACACGCCCGACCTAAGGGTCGTGTTGATGTGCACGGCAGGGTGCGTACGTCTTTTCCTGTGGGTTTCCTACAGATCGGCGCCGCGCGAGGGGGGAAGTGAGAAGGGGCGGGCCTTCTCAGAAGTCTCGGAAGTCCCCCCGGCCTTCCGTGAGAAGTCTTCGGAGCCTTTCCCCGAAGACAGGGACAAAAAACCTCTCAGAAGGCGCGAGGGATTCTGAGAAGTCCCGCCGCCTCCTGAAAAGGCCTTCTCCTCCCCACTTCCCCTCCTCGCTCGCCGCCGAGTTCAGTTTTCGGGTCAGAACCCGGGTCTCCGGCGGCCGTTCGGGACGATCCGGGCATCCCCGCAGCGCTCTCGGCGAGGTGCAGCCGCTGGAGCGCATCCCGATGGCGGAAATAGGGTTCGCACGTGGCCCCCTGGGAAGCCGCCGAGAAACTGCGAAGCCACCTGGAAGCCTGGAGCCTCGAAGCTTGCATCTCGAAGTTCCCCCTCGAGCCACCGCCGCTCGCCGCCGAAGAGATGGAGGGCTTCGAGGGAAGGAGCGGGGTGCCGCTACCTCGAAAGTCGGGCCTGTCCCTGTGCAGGAAGGGAATATTCAAAAATAGTATTGAGCATCTTTTGGGTATCTTTTGTGAGCATTTTGTTGGGGTACGTTTTTTTTTTCCCCCTAACAGCGAAGACTGATAGGTTTCTAGCGGTGTCAAAAGAGAGCATCTGATGACTCAGAAGGGAGGTCTGGGCGGCATCCGGACAGCGAGGGCCGGGCTCGTTTTAAGCAAACAGTCACACACTTCGTGCTCTTCGACCTCCCAGAACTCTATTCCCAGGCCACATTTTGGATGCTCGGAGCCAACTGCAGGCCACTTCGTGCTCTTCGACCTCCCAGAATTCCATTCCCGGGCCACATTTTGGATGCTCGGAGCCAACTGTAGGCCACTTCGTGTTCTTGGACTTCCCAGATCTCCATTCCCGGGCCACATCTAGAATGCCCGGAGCCAACAGTAGGCCACTTCGTGCTCTTCCACGTCCCAGAACTCCACTCCCGGGCCACATTTTGAATGCCCGGAGCCAACTGTACGCCACTTCGTGCTCTTCCACTTGCCAGACTTCCAAGACTCATCATCTTCATCATCATCATCATCGTCCCCGTAGCCTTCTTGGCTACAGCCCTGCTTTCGAAAATTTCCTTTCAAAGGAACTGCGGGCGGTCTGCCGCTCCGGGTCTCGCTGACCGGGTAATCGGCCAGGGCATCGTCCGGGTTCTCTTTCGCATCATCGAGACAGAGCGCGACCCAAACTACTCCAACACGGATGGCCACGGCAGGCATTTTTTTGAGTTCGTTCGCACAGACGGCTCAGCCATGCGCCTGCATTGCCACAAGAACGGCCGACCCGATGAGCCCACGTATGTCGGTCCACCACGCGCCGTTGCTCAGCCTGCGGTGCCTGGGCCTGCCGCTACTCAGCCTGATGTACCTGGTGGCAGCGCTGCTCAGCCTGCCATGCCTAGCGGTGGCGGTGCTCAGCCTGCCGTGCCTGGCGGTGATGGCCCACTGCTCTTCACACTGGAGCACCTGCAAGAGGCCGCCCGCTCGCGCCAGACTGTGGGCCGCGACGAAGCGAGCGCCGCTCTCCAAACGCTGTTGCACTACCACCATGGCGAGACTGCCCCAGGTGCTATTGACATCACCGATGGCTCAGCGTTTGACTGGCTTCGATGGGTGGCACAGATCGAGGGTGCGCGCGACGTCATCCGGAATGGCGTCCACAGGGTCTACGTTGTCCGCTGGAATCCGCACTGGGCCCCAGAGAACGTCTTCTGCTACGGCAACAACACGTACAGCACACTGGTGCCTCGCAGCGCGCGATACAATGGCCCATGGAACCACACGCGCATTGTGATTCACCGAGAGGCCAATTGGGTGACCGAGCCGTTGCTCTCTGCGGCCCCTGTGGCAGCTACGCCGTGGCTGTTGTTGCGGGATAAGGTGACCTGGGAGTGATCTCTGACAAACAAAATGTGGTGCTTCTCGGCCGGCATTCATGTGGCATTCAATGCCGTGGCATGCACTCGCGTAGTGCTTCTCAGCCTGCACTCGCGCGGTGCTTCTCAGCCTGCGCCTCCTGGGTACTTGCCAGCCGCCAGATTGGCGCGATTTCCTGGAATACAAGCGGGAAAGGTGAAGTATCCGAGCCCGCGTGTCCACGGTGCTTCTCGGCGTGCGTACTTGTAATCCTAGTTCCAGCAGTAGTAGGACTGCGCGGCCGCGGTGCTTCTCAGCCTCCGAGTTTCTGCGGTGCTTCTCAGCCTGCAAGTTTTGCCGACTGTCCGCTTCACACGCCGCTCCTCAGTGCGCTCCTCTTCCGTTTGCGAGATGTCTTCCAAGATTTGGTTGGAGGCCGAGAAGGACGGACAGAACAAATCCAAGTAGCGCGGTCATCATCCCATCATCCCCCTCAATCATCACATCATCATCATCGATGGCTTCGCCGAGCACCCCGGTGGAGACTCAGGTCTTACGCCGAGACTTCCCTTTGAATGCAGGGCTTGCTTGAGGCGCAAAACAAATGAAGTAGGTTTAGAGTAGCTCCTGAAGTAGGTCGGCGAAGTAGGTCTGCAGCGCGCCTGGCAACAGTGGTCGGCGCAGGTAACTCGAAGGGAAAGGATGGCGAAACCGATTGCCGCGAGAAACTTTCAGGGGAAAGGAATGCGACATTCATGTGCAAAAGTAGCTTTCCAGGAAAGGTTGTCGGGAACACAATATCAAAAGTAACTTGTCGGGATCGGGTCAGTAATGATATTTTCCAAACAAGCTTCTCGGGGAAATGCTGGAATGCCGCCGGCAAGGCGCGGCTTCTGCTAGCAAGCCAGCCGAGTAATTCGTGAAGTGCGCTGTCTTGGGTTCTTCTGGACTCCTTCGGGGCTTATCTTCAGGCTTCCAAAGTCTTCGGAAGCGCATGGACCAAAAGGCCCAATTCATTCGTGTCTCGTACGATTTGGAAAGATTTCGGCTTCTCGGGGGTGTTATTGGGTGGCTCCGCGGCCGCTTGGGGCGGTCTCGGAGCGGTATTTGGGTTTCTTGGAGCATGCGGGAAACAATGTTGATCCATCTTGGGCTATCTTGAACCATCTGTGAGACCGCGTTGCATTCTGCGAGGTCATGCCGGCTCTATCTTTGACCGTCCCGGGCGCTCCACCGATCCGCCGCCCCCCATTGCAGGCCCCGGAAGGAGGGGGGGGGAGGGGCGCATCCATCCCCGAAGGGAAGACTGGGGGTTGTTGGAACAGGAAGCGCTCTAAACCACCTCCGTCCTGAGATCTGGGGGCATTGCGTTTCCCCCTTGGTCTGACCACAGCGGGAAGTGGGGCATGGAGGGCGGGGCGAGGGCCGCGGGCCCGAGCAAGGGGGAGGGGGGGGGGCGAGAGGGAGGACCAGGAAGGTTAAGAAGGTCAGAAACGGGAGGGTGGGGGGCTCCAGAAGGCGGGTAGGGGGGAGGTGGCGTTTCCGGGGGGAGGAGGTGGAGGGAGGCTGGAATAATGAGGGCGCGTGAAAGAGGAGAGGAGGTGGAGAGAGGTGGGAGGAGGAAAGAGAAACGGAAGGGGAGTGGCGCCTCCGTCGGGCCGGGCCCGGAGGGGCCCCGGGGGGCGGGGGGCGGCCGCATCAGGTTTGGTTTCTGAAGAACCTAGGGCGCCAGGCGGCGGCCCCCTGCCCGCCAGCGGGGGGGCTGCCAAAAGGCCCTGTCCTGTCGCGGTACGTTCGCTTGTCGCCCGACAGCGAAATCGCGCTCGATCCTCGACCCTCGGGGGGGGGGGGAGACCGCCCCCTTTGGGGGGCTCCCGCCTGTCGGGGGCAACCTACAAGTGTTTTGGGTTTGCTCACCTTCTGGGGGTACTTCGCAGATTCCTTTTTTGGCGCGCCGCCCCCGGGGGCGACTTCTGGGAAAGGCTCGGGCAAGCGTGTGCTGATGTTTCAAGGAACCGCGCCCCCAAAGTAGGTCGGAAAGTAGGTTTGCAGAATTTGTTTTTGCAAAGTAGGTTCCAAAGAAGGTTTCCGGATTCCAAAAGTAGGTTTTCGGTAGCGCAAAGTAGGTTTCGGAGGCTTCAAAATAGGTTTTAGGAGCCTCAAAGTAGGTTTCGGAGGCCTCAAAGTAGGTTTCAAACCTACTTCAAACCTACTTCAAACCTACTTCAAACCTACTTCAAACCTACTTCAAACCTACTTCAAACCTACTTCGAACCTACTTCAAACCTACTTCAAACCTATTTCAAACCTACTTCAAACTGTTTTCGGAAGCATGGAAGGTCAGGGATTGAAGGTAGGAGGAGGAGGAGGTGGAGGAGAATGTGGGGGAGGAGGAGGAGGAGGAAGAGGAATGGGAGAGGAGGAGGAGGAGGAGGTGGATGAGGAGAGCCGGGAGGAGGATGTGGAGGAGGAAGAAGAGGAGGAGGAGGAGGAGAGCCAGGTCGAGGAAACGGAGGGCCAGGAGGAAGGAGGAACAGGAGAGAGGAGTAGGAGGAGGAGGGCCAAGAGGACCCGGAGGATCGGGCGGAGGATGAGGGGCGGATGAAGGGGGGATGAGGGGGAAAAGGTAGGAACAAGATGGGGAATATGAGGGGGGGGAGGAGGAGGGGGGGGAGGAGGAGGAGGAGGAGGAGGAGGGGGGGGCGGGGAGGGCGGGGAGGATCGGGGGCAGGAGGATGAGAACGTGGATGCTGCGGCTGACGAGGGGGAGGATGGTGAGGCAAGGGGGGCGATGATGGGAAGCATGATGTGATTGATAACGAGTGGCTTTGGGGAGGGCAGAATGACCTTGGGCGGGGCGGCCGTGATAATGAGGAGGAGCCATGGCGTGTCCGAACCCCGCCGGGGCACGGTATTGGTACGGGGTGATTGTTGGTGGCGGCCCGGCTTGTCCGGGATTCCTTGAGTTGCGTTGTTCGCCGTGCCAGTTGCCGGGGCTGCCCCAATTGATTTTTGGGTCGCCCATCGTCGTGACTGCTTTTCTGGCGGGTCGTGTTTTCGGAGGTCTTCTCCGCAGCCGCTCTCGTTAATTTTCTATGTTTAGTGCCCGAGGGTGCATCGCGCGAAACGTGCCGCGGCCCCTGCCTGAAATGCAGCCCTGACGCCGTTTTTCATTGCAAACCTTCTTGGCGAGGTTACCGCGGCCAGGGAACGTCCCCGGGTGCACTCGCCAGGGCTAGTTTGGCGAATTCGCTTCGCCAACTTAGCTGCCCGCGGCATTTGCGCCGACGCGCTTTGGCAAACCCAGTAACGGGAGGCTATCTGCCCGATGACACGTTTTCCCCGCGCGTTGCACCTTCTTCCTGGGACCTACTATGCTTGCGAACCTATCTCCCGAACCTACTTTTGAACCTATCTAAAACCTATATCGAAATGTTTTCTGTTCGCCATTGCCCTGCATTGCTGGGGAAGTCTCGGGTCTTACGGGTCCGTGCCCATACTACTACTACTACTACTACTACTACTACTACTACTACTACTACTACTACTACTACTACTACTACTACTACTACTACTACTACTACTTTATTATTACTACTACTACTACTACTACTACTACTACTACTACTACTACTACTACTACT